TCTATATGTATTTGCATTTTATTAATATGTATTACATTTTTGATATGTTTTTAATTTATAATTTATATAAACATAAGTATGAAATAAAAATTGAAATAGTTCTGAAAATAAGTATATTAATGATAAAATTATTCAAAACAATAAAAAAATTAAATTTAATATTTTTTAGTGTTTGTACCTACATGGACGCTACTACATATGCGATGTAAGAGAGACAAAGATGGAATGATGCTCTCTCCTTGTCAAGCAGTATTAAAAGCCATATTAAAAGCTCTAGCTTCATTCAATTAATAATCCAATATAATAATCAACAATTATTTTTATATAATATATAGTATTTTTAAATATTTTTAAATATTTAAAAATATTTTTTTTAAGATTAATTGAGGAAAAGAATATTTTAAATATAAAAAAATATTTTAAATATTTTTTTTCAATTAATTTTTAAAACAAATTTTTAAAAATATTTTTATATATTCAAATATTTATTATATTATATAAAAATTATTGTGAATTATACTCATTGGAGTAATAATTATTGATTGAAGCTTGTTATGGCACAAACTGAACATCTTGTACATTGTCTGTATAATATTTTACTTATTTATAAAATGTTTTTTATAAATAAATGAAATATTATATATATATAATATATAAGATTATAATATATAAGATTATTGATGTTACATTGTATAACTCTCATTTCTTTCTCTCTGCTACATAAGTACTTATGACGTGAAAGAACTTACGAGTAACGTATGATGGCTCAATGCAAGAATATTTAATCACGTAAAAAACTTGAGTTCAAATATATCAATATCAATTTTTTTATAATATATTGGAATATAGAAAATCATAGAAATATATTTTTTATATAGGCGATAAACTTAAAAATTTGATATTGAAAATATTTTAATCATTTTACAACTACACATACTATAAATATATAAATGCAAAATAATTCCGTAAATAAATTTCAAGTAATAAATCAATTGCACACATGCACACAGCTGGTATGTAGATTTTTATTAAATTTATTTTCTGAATTATTTTACACTTATATATAGTGTATGTAGTAAAAATATTTTCAATATATTAAAAAATTTTTAAATCGCCGAAATATATTTTTTTATCATTTTTCTATATTCTAATATATATATATATATATTATAAAAAAATTGATATTGATATATTTGAACTCTAATTTATATACTGGATGATATACTGAACATCCTTGCATTGATTATACATTACTCAACGTTCTTTCACGTTATAAGTATTTGGAGCAAATTATACAATAGCATCAATAATCAAAAAGAAATCAAGAATATAATCAACATATCCCTTATATAATATATATATATATATATATATATATATATATATATATATATGTTATATATATATACGTTATGCACATATGTGCATAACCATATATACTTCCAAAAAGTGGGTGCTTATTAGTTTTGCTACGTTACTGCTTTCTGCTACGGAAGGCCAGAAAGCATTTTCAGGCGGCATCTCGCGTATACCGGCACGGTAGATGAACAAGGAGAACACGTGATTATCGGTCCTTGTCTCTCTTACGTGCGTCCGCGTGAGCGATGCAGTTGGTGTATGTACGTGTACAGACATACACCACTACATAAAACCCGAGAATTGGTTTCTCGGCGTTGGCAACACTGAAACCGGAGTTTCGCGTTGTCACCGCACGAGGTCTCCAATATCAATTCGGAGTTTGCCTGGGTGTACTGCCGACCCTTAAGGGTCGACAGTACACCCAGGCAAACTCCGAATTGATATTGGAGACCTCGTGCGGTGACAACGCGAAACTCCTGTTTCAGTGTTGCCAACGCCGAGAAATCAATTCTCGGGTTTTATGTAGTGGTGTATGTCTGTACACGTACATACACCACTGCATCGCTCACGCGGACGCACGTAAGAAAGACAAGGACCGATAATCACGTGTTCTCCTTGTTCCTCTACCGTGCCGGTATACGCGAGATGCCGCCTAAAAATGCTTTCTGGCCTTCCGTAGCAGAAAGCAGTAACGTAGCAAGACTAATAAGCACCCATTTTTGTAAATTTTATATATGCTTATGCACATATGTGGATATATTATTTATATATAAATATATATATATATAAAATATACTAATTTACTCTCAATTATATATGCTACTGTTATTATTTATCATTAGACAATTATAAAACAGAGGTTATAGATTTGGTCTGACTACACTGGCCTCAAATTAAAGTTGTATATATATATTTATTTTAACATTTCGACCATACGGGATGTGGTCCTTTTCAAAAATACAGATTGGAATATCAGAGAGTTACAGCATTTCGTCTTTAAGATGTAAGCGCAAATTATGATTCGGAGAGATTTAACTTGTCAAATAATAAAATATAAAATAAATTATAAAACATATACATATATAATTTGTAGTGCTATATATATATATGTTTTATAATTGTCTAATGATAAATAATAACAGTAGCATAATTGAAAGTAAATTAGTCTACAATGTTAGACACGGGTACTTGTTAGGTTTGATAATTTATTGCTTATACTTTTTCGAGAGACAAGAATAAGAGAACGAATATAAATTATTATTAGCTTGTATAGCAATCATAGATTGACGAATATGCGTTGGTTATTCTTGATTTCTTTCTATTATTGATGTTATTGTATAATTTGCTCCATAAATACTTATAACATAAAAGAACTTATGTCGAGTAATATATTGATCAATGCAAAGGATGTTCAGTATGTATCACCCAGTAAATTATTAGAGTTCAAATATATCAATATCAATTTTTTAATAATATATTGGAATACAGAGAAATGATAAAAAAATATATTTCAGCAATAAAAATTTTATAAATATATTGAAAATATTTTTACTACACGCGCGCGCGCGCGCGCACACACACACACACACACACACACACACACACACCCACCCACATACACACTATATAAATGCAAAATAATACAGAAAATAAATTTTTAATAAAAATCAACATACCAGCTATTTGTGTGTGCATATGTAGCTGCGAGCATGCAACGGATTTATTACTTGATAAATTTATTTACGGACTTATTTTGCATTTATATATATATATATATATATATATATATATATATATAGTGTATGTAATTGTAAAAATGATTAAAATATTTTCAATATTTAAAAATTTTCAAGTTTATCGCCTTATATTTCTATAATTTTTCTATATTCTAATATATTGTAAAAAAATTGATATTGATATATTTGAACTCAAGTTTTTTACGTGATTGAATATTATTGCATTGAGCCATCATACGTTACTCGTAAGTTCTTTTACATTATAATAGTATTTATGTGTAGCAGAGAGAAAGAGATAAGAGAGAGATTATACAATACAACTTTAATAATCGAAAAAATCACGATAACGCTATTGTCATATCTATGTGTGTGCATATATATAAACATATTAATTTGCATATTATCTACCCAGACAGCACCAAGTCTAAAATTGACGCATAAGATAGCATTAAGAAATCTTTAAGACAGCTATCTTATGATATGATATCAAAAAGACATCTTATAAAGATATCTTACGCGCCAATTTTGGACTTGGTGTTGTTTGGGTATATAAATAAAATATGTACACAAATAAAATAATATTTGCATAAATATTATTTTATTTGTACATATTTTATTTACATAGATTATATGCAAATATTTAAATAAATCATTCGATAATTTATTACACATTTTATTTATTATATAGATTTATATAGATTATATGCAAATATTTAAATAAATCATTCGATTATTTGTTACAGATGCATAATGTGAAATATATATTGCGTACACGAAACGATAATTGGAAGATAATGTTAGGCAAGAATTATTGCTATTCTTATTGTTCTTTTACATATAATATACATATACAGAGAAACAATGATAATACGAAAACCGGTTCTTGCTGATATCTCCCAATAATCGCATTCGTTCAACGCATTAGTGTTTGTGTCTACATGGATGTTACTACATATGCGATGTAAGAGAGACAAGGACAGAATGATAGTCTCTCCTTGTCAAGCTGTTAGCTGTCAGTATGTTACCACGGAAATTTCCCCTACTCCTTATGAATCTAGTGAGAATCTTATCGTCCAGATATTTCATAAAATAAGTGACATAACTTTGGTTTTTTTTTTTTAATATATTCTTGATATAATAAAGTAGTCCGCCAAAGAGTCGGATTTTGCATTTTTGCTCTGAAAAATTTATAATAAATAAAATACGGACTCCTGGCTAACCCAACCTTACCCGTTACTAGCTGCGCATTCCCCCAAGTTATATTATAAATTTTATTTTCATCTTTTTTTCAATAAATAACTCTTTGGCGGACTGCATTTGAGCTTACTGATTAAGAATATCATAAATTTAATAAGATTCATTCAGTAGTTTCGCTAATATCTGGAATATAAGAATCTCTAATTCCCGGCCGGCCGATAGGCGTCTCCACCATGTCGCCTGCCGACCCTTAATCAGCTCATTAAAGTAAGGTACATATAGAAATATTTCTTTATTTCTCTCAATATAAAACACAAGAACACTCTCTATATCTTTATCTGTTCTATACATTAATATAAATTATATGTATACATCAAAACAATTATAATATTTGATATCTTAACTCGTTTATTAATGATAAAAATTATTATACAATATATTTTTATATTATATTTATATGTATATATATATATAATGGTATTTTTGAAAATAAATACGATCAAAAGTGCTAAAAAAGTATCGAATTTTTTGTACTATATGTAGATACAAATATACATTGCGTACATCGTCTGCAACATGCGTAAAAGTATCGAGATTTTTTAAAGAACGTATTCGTTTAAGTCGAGAAAAGCGCCGAAAATGTTGAGATAAAATGGCGGGAAATGGCGGAATAATGCATGCTTCTTCCATTTTTTGCAAATCGGAAGTTGGCAACAGTTGTTAGTCGGGGTAAAAACAGCGGGAGAAACAGCGAAAATGCCAAGAAGAGCAGAGATGCTGAGAAAAAGGCCAGAAAAAAAGTGAAAATGCTAGAAAAGGCATCGGAATTGTCGAAAAAAGTACCGGGAGTATCGAAAATAATATCGGGAACGTCGAGAAAAGTTTCGGCAATGCCGTGACGACTATTATTATGCGTAAGTATATCGCATATTGTCTATTCGAATTTGTACAGTTCCGTCAAGTGAAAGAATAATTCCGCATTCGTAATTATTAAATATTAATAAAAGTAAGTCATCGAACATAAATGAGTATTGCCTAAGTATAAATATGTGTTGGAAGAGTCGGTCTCTCTCTTCCTCTTTTGTTATACATGGACACAAAATATATATCCGCGTTGGAGAATAGATATGATACATTCATCAAATGAAATCCACACGACCGTAGCTGGGTGAAAATATACATTCGTCAAATGAAATCCACACGTCCGTAGCTGGGTGAAAATATATACATTCGTCAAATGAAATCCACACGATCGTAGCTGTGTGAAATCTAGATAAATCTAGCTAAATTTGTCATCAAAGAAATTGGTAGAATAATTAATAGCATATACCATATTGCAAGTAATTTCTTTTATAATACCTGCATGATTAATGATATATGTTTATTATTTTATTTGTTATATTGTACTATTAATATTATTTTCTATTTTATCAATTTCTTATTCTTTTTCTTTCTTTTATAGTTCCAACATCTTCCTCACACATCCCTTCCAGTCAGCTTCAATTGTATGGGCTTTGATGGTACAGAGATCAGATGCAAAATCATTTTAATGTTGTCGCGATTTACGCACTCAATCTTGAACTTCTTGATGAGCTGCAGAAAGGAAGAGAAAAAAACGAGATGCATCAGAATTGGAACAATGTCGAATTGGAATTTATTAGACTCACCTGCGCCAACGTGAGAGACAGTTGCGTTTCCGCGAGTTTGCGACCAATGCAGCTCCTCACTCCCATCGCAAACGGCAGAGTGGCATACGAATTCTTCACACCTTGATAAGAACCGTCTTTCGTCCTGATCCACCTTTCCGGCCTGAAGTCATTCGGTTTCGGAAAATCGTTTCCATTCCGGCCGCTCGAGTATATCGACATGATGATTAAATCCTAGGAAATTGAAAGTTCTATCTCTTACAAGTTGCAAACATTTTTGTCTATGTAATATGTAGAAATCTACAAGTCTATAGTTTGAAACGATATAACGCAGAAATTTATTATTCCACAGGATTACCTCCTTCGAAACGAAGTAATCGCCTATTGTGCTGTCCGCCGGCAAATATCTCGTCAGAAATGGCGCGATAGGGTGCAACCTTAGAGCTTCCCTCCACACGCCTTTCAGCAGAGGATGCCGTAGAATCTCCTCCGTCGACAGGTCCTTGATATCGTGAAACAACTGGTCCTGCAGCTCAGGACGACCGCTGAGCAATAGCAACGCCCATTGCATGCTGATTGCCGTCTAAATAATCAAATGATTCTAAAAATAATCGTTTTTTATAAGGTATATTCTATGCGACTTTAATTACAATTAATTATAATTATCAGTCGACTTTTCCTCAGTTCTAAAATGCTGATATTTGAATTAAAACAACTTCAAATAATTGTATCTGATATTGTGAATATAATTTAAACATCTTAATCTATATCAAATTACAAATACGATTTTTTTATCTAATCATTAATTCGTATAAGCGAAAGAATAATTCAATTTAAATACATGAAAAATGTAGAATAAAATTTTTTTTATAAAAGATTTTATTTCTGATAAAAAATCAGAAAAAATTAATGACATTTTTTCTTTTTCAAATTTAAATATATTTTATGCACAGGCACTTTATATATTGATAAATTGAAGAACGCACTGTGTCGCCAGCAGCTATAATGAAATCGACGACGATTCTGACAATGTCATCATCGCGGATGCCGTTGCTCATCATCATCTGTAAAAGTCCGTCGCTGTCTAGCTGGATCATTTTCGGAACTAAACTGCGTACTTTGACCATAATTGTGTCAGCAGTGCGAACAAACTCGGTCCATGCCGACAGTTTGAGTTTCATGGCCAGCTTGGCCGGCATCATCGACAGGGTGGCGGAATACATGAAAATTTGGTGCAGCATCAGAGCCAAATGCTCCGCCTCGGAACGCATTTGCTGCTTACAATCTCGCCATCGCGAACCTATCAGAGTCGCCAGCATGGCTGCAAGAACATGCGACTTCAATCAGTCGTAAGCGCTAACTAAATACATATATATATATATATATGTAAAGGCTTACTTTCGATAGACCACAGATAGAGCTGAGATTCCAGATTCGGTATCGTAGAACCGACTAAACTGTGATCCATCCACTTTCTCGCTAGATTCTCGGCGGCTTCCTGGCAAGGTGTGCACATTAATTTTGCTGGATCAGGAAGCAACATCGTCTTGTTGAGGATACGGCGAAAGTGCAACCACTCGTCTCCATCCCTGTTTAAAAAAACAAAACGGGTGTGTTATATAGAATTTAAATTTTTTCTTCTATTACTACAATTTAAATCACTAACATCTACAGTTCCATTTTTCAGTGTCAATAAAAGAACATTCTGTGCATACATGAAGAGTAGTCCTCGGCGCTCCGCTCGGATCTCGTTGTACAGCCTCCAGGCCTCTGGTAGAAAATGTTGCGGCGTAGGACCCTCGAGTCGCAAGAAGATGTTGCGAAATTCATCAGTCGATTTGACGAAGACGGCCCGCAATGGTCCGATCTTATCCTTGAAGATTGGGCCCAGTTCTTGATGTTTTCTGTCCACGTACTCGTGCAGTTTCTGCGCACCTCCAGCCATCAATAGGGACAACATCGTACCGAACAAGGGGATTCCTTGTGGCTCGGGCAGTGGTTTTCTCGCAGAAGTGCTAAAGTCTCGCACGAATGTTTGCGAAAACGCCGATCTCCTCGTCGCATTCTGGCCGACGAAGTTCCTCGAGGAACGAGCAGTATCTTTTTCATTCTTTCTCTTCTCTAGGACGAAGACTCGTGGATCGAAGCATCCCAGCGTTCCGCGTTCCTTGGAGAACGAGACGTTGAACTCACTGCAATAGTTCGCCGACCTCGAGATTCTACGCGAGATTCTTCGCACCACCCAGTGCATCTTCACGACGACACCGGGTATATGAATTCGCGGGAACTGTGTGCGACGACTGTGCGCGAATCTTCACTGTCGACAAGAGAAATCAGATCGTATCATCGATTCAGCATCTTTTTCTTCGAGTCGACGAAATTAGAAATTATCAGGACAAAGGTAACGCGAGAGTAATGTGTAAATTTTTTATTTTAAGAGACAAAAAGAATATTATTTTAACACGACTTTTCTATATATGTATATATATATATATATATATATATATATATATATGTAGAAAAGTCGTGTTAAAATAAATAATATATATATATATATATAACGCAAAATTATTATATAAAATACAATAATAATAATTTATTTTATTTTCAGTTTGCAAATGGCTAAAAGAGAGAATCTCTATTTTTCTGTACCGGAAATACCGCACCAATCTTACGTACTATATTAACATAATGCGATGCGTTATGCGTTTCTTCACGCACTGAGAAAGTGCTGCATGGTCGGGAGATAAAAAGCGCGATTAACAAAGAAGGATGATAGCAGAAACGAAGTGCGTATCATGTGTATGCATAAGCATTTCGGCGGGAGAAATTGACAAGTTTTATCTCTCGTCGACGATGAGCGTTCTTCATCATCCGACCGCAGAATGATGCTGCCGCGCGATACAATCTTTCTCTGATATTCAATGAAACGCATATATAGTATCATGAAATATCTCGTACAATTAATGTTTATTCATTTTCAATTTCATTAAACAGGTAAGATATTTATAATCTCGCTCGTTATCATTTCTCGTTTGACTGGTTTTTAAAAAGATACATTTTATTTTTAGAAAAAGTGTGAAATATCGATAAGCCGAAACATCCTAATGAGCGAGCGTTAAACGACTCTTCAGATCTCGAAAGCACGCCATCAACGATAAGATGCTATCCTTTGGTCCAGTGTTTCTCAAACTCAAATGTGTATGTGAATTTAGTTTACACAATTTTTGAATACAATTTTTTACTTTTAATTAGTAATTTTAACGTACACTCGTAAAGTGGTTCAAAATTTTAATAAAAATTTGACTTATGTCAATTTATCTAATTATTTAATTAAATAAATCCATCACGTTATTTAGCGACAAACTATTAATATGAAAGCTAAATGTACTAATTTATTCTTTAATTAACTTTTAATTTGTCACATTGGAACAATTGATACATATCTCACTGTTTAAATAGTTTTTAATAATAAAATATTTATATGCACACCAATACACAGTTATATTCTGGCTCGGCTCTTCTCGTATAAAATCACTATCGAATTATAATCTCTCTTCATTGTAGAACATTTTAAAAACACTTGTTTATATATATTTTTTTATGAAATATATATATATTTTTTTTTAATTGTACTCAATATATGCTTATTGTTTTTTTTCAGGAGTATATATACCGTTCTTCAGTTGCACCCAATTGTGTCGAATGTTTCTGTCAATCTAACAAGCCATTCTACAGAGAGTCGGACTCGTCTGGCGAGTATCTCGATGCTTACTGCCGCGTTCGGCTTCCTGATATCCGGTCGCGGTGGTAAACCGGAAACACGGCTGACCGGAAACGGAGCGAAACTAGAACTGAACCGATCATCTCTACCTTCTTTTACAACAGAGTCGTTCAGACTCGCAACGGGAGATCGTAAGCCGCTGTATGTTGTTATCTATATATAGAATCTCTGTCATCCCTCTCATCTTGATCAGAGGTATATGCAATCAAAATTCTTTTTCGATTTTCTGTATGAAGATTAGATTAATTATGCTCAGATGTTCAATTTAATTTTAGATTATCGGTATCTGTTCAATTTTTTTAAGAAATAATTTTTCTTAATAAATAAAAAGCTCTTGGTATTGCTTTAATTTTTTCATCTTTATAAAGATGACAGAAATTCGTTTTAATTCTAAAGCTTCAATCTTCAGAATCATTCATATTTGAATATACATTTTTAGAAAAAAGGAATTCTTTTGTTCAACAATAAATTTTGGAACAAGCTGTAAGCGCCTATAAATAATGCAAAGGAATATATTTGAATGTCAAAATAGTTGAAACGATTTATCGAGAATACAAAAAAGAGACATAAAGAGAGAAGAGGGAAAAGGAAAAAACAAGTCACTTCTATCTTAAAATATGCTCAATTTATTCAAAATAAATCACAACCATATAAATTTCAGAAGTTTTATATTGCGTTTTTATTCAATATTTCTGACTGAAAAATTTTTGAAATTTTGCATACTATTGAAATACATTATCTTATATTATTAGACAATTTGGCGATATAAGAGATATTTTAGACCTTAGAGTATAAAAATACTTTCTTGTTTCTCTTCTTTTTAAATTATTTCATTTCTATAAATAATCTATAGTATTTTACCTGTAAGTTTAAATTAAAACTTATCTTTTGATTAGAGTTTTTCTCTAATGTAGGACCTCAAGTATTATTATACATTATTTATTTTTTTCTAATTACACTTACATATATTTTCGATATTTACAAGTTTAATAAGAATATATAAAATATTAAACAAAATTAAACAATCATATATAGTAGGCCAACTAAACGAGCAAATAAATAAGATGTAAAAAATTTTTTTTATTAATAGTTAAATCATTAAATTAACATTCCGTTACAGAATCGATATAAATTGTAAACGTTTCGACTGCACTACAGTCTTTATCAATACATAAAAATTAAATATTAAAATATAAAGTTAGATGTTAAAAATACAAAGTTAGTTAAATATTAAAATATAAAATTGAAACGATTCTTCGCTGTTGACCAATAGATATGCAAGGCGATTGGTCTGAGATGCCAAGTTATGCGATATTTGAGCATGCTACGGATATAATACGCGAATTAAATCAATGTCAGAAAAAATTAAAAAATCTTTCAACTTACATTATCGTTTTAACAAGTCCTTTTCCCCGATATTTCAAGTGTGTGTTGCGAAGTCTGAATACCAAATGTCAAAATAGAGAGCGTGATGTATTTATTTATTACCAATGTTTTTTCTAAATTATGATTCAGCAAATTTTTTAAGTATGTCAAAATAACTACTGTCTAACAATTCGGTGTCTGTATTTAAATTAATTCCATTTTTCTGTTCTTTAATGTGGATCATTTCAGATATTAGTCTTTTTTGGTAATTCTTTTCATGATCCATAATTTTAATATTGTCCCAGTCAAATGTATGTTGTTCGTTTAGAATGTGTTCCGTGATAACCGAATGTCTAGCAGAGTCTAATTTAATATTATTTTTATGTTCTTTAAGTCTCGTTCCTAACTGTCTTTTTGTCTGTCCGACATATGTGGCGTCACAATCGTTGCAATTCAATTTGTAAATAACGTTAGAATTCGTGGGGCAATTATTTTTGTCCTTTTGAACTCTTATGAAGTCATTTAATTTTTTAATGCAACGATATCCTACCACTACGTCAGGTCTTCTTATTGCTGAAGCAACTTTCTCAGATATTGATTCTATATATGGTATGACAAAATATTTAATGTTAGTATTAGTATTATTAGTATCTGTTATATTGTTATTATTAGGCTTGTTAAATTTCTTAGTTGAGAGATTTTTTAATCTGCGTTTTATTTCTGTGAAAATTAGATCAAGAGGATAACCGTTGGATAGCAAAATGTTAATAGCTTTCTCTATATTTTTTTTGTGAAATTGCGGATGTGATAGTAATAAAGCTCTATCTACCAAGTTATAAATTGTTCCTATTTTATGACAAGTCGGATGATTTGAAAAAAATGAAAGTAATCTACCTGAGAATGTCTTTTTGTGATACCAATCTAAATAAATTTTGTTATCTATTACTTTGATCATTATGTCTAAAAAGCTTATACAACGATTATCCTCCTTTTCCAATGTAAATTGTAGTCTATCGTTATAATTGTTGAATTCGTTCAAAACATATGTAATATTGTCAGCGGAAGTGCATAAAATAATGTCGTCTACATAACGGAAATAGAAAGTCATTTCGCAATTTAAATTACTAATTACTGATGTTTCCAAGTCCTGCATGACTATATCGGCAATGATCGGAGAAAGTGGGGAACCCATAGGAGTCCCATAAATTTGTTTGTAAGTTATGTTATTAAAAGTGAAAAATGTAGAAGTTAATATAAATTTTATCATACCTATGAATTCATTTTTGGGAATCTTTGTGTGTGACTCTATAAAATGCCATCTATTATTGATACCGTTTAATGCAAGATCTACGGAAACATTAGTAAATAATGAAACAACGTCCAATGAAGCTATTATGTCGGTATCTTGTATTGTTTTCCCTGATAGAATGTTGCATATATCAAAACTGTTATTTACAAAACTGTCCGCTCTAGGAAGGCTATCTTTTAAAATTTTATGAAAGAAAGAAGCAATATTATATAGAGAAGTATTTATTGAGGAAACTATTAATCTAAAAGGAATATTTTCCTTGTGGATCTTGGGGAGCCCATAAGCTTTAGGAAGAAGAGAGTCGCTTGAAAATAAATAATAATATTCTTTTTTGTTGATGAAGTCTTTTTTCAACCATTTTTTTAAACAAATATTGAGGTCTTTTTCTATTTTTGTTGATGGATTGTTTTTAACTATGGTATACGTAGAATCGTCTTCTAGGAGACTCTCAACTTTTTTTATATAAAATTCTTTTTCTAGTGCGACTGTAATGCTGCCTTTATCTGCTCTGGTAAATAAAATATTAGGATTTTGATTGCAGAATTTAATTGTGTCTTTATGCATGTGAAATAATTTTTCTTGTATGTCCGTTTTTTTGTCGTTATTGTTTAAAAATAATGAAAATTGTGGAATGGCAGCATTACGAATCGAAGTAAGATTTCTGATCCCGTTAGAATTGCTTTCTATATCTTTGATGAATTCGTGTATAGCTACTTTTTTATTTAATTTAACTGGGAGACTAAATTCACCTCCCAATTGTAATAGATTGGTTACATTGGGGGGAATTTTTTTATCAGTCAAATTAATAAACCATTTCTGGTTAGTTTGTTGTAAAGGGTTATGTGTAGCATAACGAAAACTGTTGGCAGAAACAGTGTTATCAACAATATTTGTCGAAGATGTTGTTTTTAATTCGATAGGATCAATATTTTTAATGTACTCTGTTTCATGCGATTTACGTAGCCATAGGAATTTTTTCTTATGTATGAGATATAATTTTTGGTTGAACAAAGAAAAGGAGTTGCAATGGTGATTTAAAATCTCCTGCCAGATATAAGATGGTAAAAGATTTTGGAGAATTTGGAATTGTCTTGACCGTTTTTTATTAAGTGAGTTTAAAGTTCTATATAAATCAAATATCTCTATGTTAAGAATTTCAGTTTTGATATTATGCAACAAACCACGCATCTTATTTTTTGATTTATAGTGGTAGAAAACAAATTTATTATTACAGAAATTACGCAAATGGTTGGGAAACAAACAATATCTCTTACATTCCCTTAAAAATTTCAACTTCGACATTGCCTTAATTATCGCATAATTAAAATTTAGCCAAGATTTAAAATGTTTTAACGTTTCTAGACCAAAATAGTTATAAATAAAACTAGAATTAAAACGATGGTATTTAAACGGGTAATTAGTCACACGCATTATAAGGCCAGCGTTTATTAAAATTAATTAATGAAAGGCTCGTATAAATTAAACAAAATTAAACAATCATATATAGTAGGCCAACTAAACGAGCAAATAAATAAGATGTAAAAAATTTTTTTTATTAATAGTTAAATCATTAAATTAACATTCCGTTACAGAATCGATATAAATTGTAAACGTTTCGACTGCACTACAGTCTTTATCAATACATAAAAATTAAATATTAAAATATAAAGTTAGATGTTAAAAATACAAAGTTAGTTAAATATTAAAATATAAAATTGAAACGATTCTTCGCTGTTGACCAATAGATATGCAAGGCGATTGGTCTGAGATGCCAAGTTATGCGATATTTGAGCATGCTACGGATATAATACGCGAATTAAATCAATGTCAGAAAAAATTAAAAAATCTTTCAACTTACATTATCGTTTTAACAAGTCCTTTTCCCCGATATTTCAAGTGTGTGTTGCGAAGTCTGAATACCAAATGTCAAAATAGAGAGCGTGATGTATTTATTTATTACCAATGTTTTTTCTAAATTATGATTCAGCAAATTTTTTAAGTATGTCAAAATAACTACTGTCTAACAATTCGGTGTCTGTATTTAAATTAATTCCATTTTTCTGTTCTTTAATGTGGATCATTTCAGATATTAGTCTTTTTTGGTAATTCTTTTCATGATCCATAATTTTAATATTGTCCCAGTCAAATGTATGTTGTTCGTTTAGAATGTGTTCCGTGATAACCGAATGTCTAGCAGAGTCTAATTTAATATTATTTTTATGTTCTTTAAGTCTCGTTCCTAACTGTCTTTTTGTCTGTCCGACATATGTGGCGTCACAATCGTTGCAATTCAATTTGTAAATAACGTTAGAATTCGTGGGGCAATTATTTTTGTCCTTTTGAACTCTTATGAAGTCATTTAATTTTTTAATGCAACGATATCCTACCACTACGTCAGGTCTTCTTATTGCTGAAGCAACTTTCTCAGATATTGATTCTATATATGGTATGACAAAATATTTAATGTTAGTATTAGTATTATTAGTATCTGTTATATTGTTATTATTAGGCTTGTTAAATTTCTTAGTTGAGAGATTTTTTAATCTGCGTTTTATTTCTGTGAAAATTAGATCAAGAGGATAACCGTTGGATAGCAAAATGTTAATAGCTTTCTCTATATTTTTTTTGTGAAATTGCGGATGTGATAGTAATAAAGCTCTATCTACCAAGTTATAAATTGTTCCTATTTTATGACAAGTCGGATGATTTGAAAAAAATGAAAGTAATCTACCTGAGAATGTCTTTTTGTGATACCAATCTAAATAAATTTTGTTATCTATTACTTTGATCATTATGTCTAAAAAGCTTATACAACGATTATCCTCCTTTTCCAATGTAAATTGTAGTCTATCGTTATAATTGTTGAATTCGTTCAAAACATATGTAATATTGTCAGCGGAAGTGCATAAAATAATGTCGTCTACATAACGGAAATAGAAAGTCATTTCGCAATTTAAATTACTAATTACTGATGTTTCCAAGTC